TTTGATTGTCACTTTACTCCCGCTTCGATAAGGTCATATCAGTATTTTCAATGAAAACAGTATATTGCACATTTGCACCGTAAAGTAAAATCGAATTGAGGACTTCGGTGGAAACTAGTAGCGTAATATATAATATTATATGTGTACGTATAATATATTATGAGAGCTTTCCAACAATAAGCGACATTGTGTGACACAGCGTTACTTCATCCTTGTTTAACATTGGCGAACAGCAAGGATGTAACAATTGACCGTATTGCACTCTGTGTCTCTTGATGGAAAGCTCTCTATATACAATACAATAACGTGCATTATAATATTTGAAAATCGGATAGCGAGTCCTTGAATTTGAAAGTATACCAAGAATGAAAAATGTCTTAATCGAACCCTTCAAATGCTTTAATAACTTAATTAAGTATGTTTATGAATATAATATAATTAATTAATTTGCTGTGGCGATATAGCATGGTCATCGTTGAATCTAAGAAATCCAAGGAAATATGATGTCCGTTTCAAATGTCTTTGCTTTATGGTCCTGCCACTTGTAAATACCCTGAGAAAACTATCAACGGTGCATCTGGCTATTCACGGCTCGCAAATCCAGACGTTCGAGGAAAGCGATGGGGTGGACATGTTGTGTCCATCCGATACCGTTACGATGCGTTGCTGTGCCTGTGAGCGTGAGACAGATGCAAATAGCAAATGCATTCATCCGTTGCCGGGACCGACGATCACGGGAAAAATCGCAAATAACGGGTTGCGGCCGCTTCATGGACGCACCATAGAAATGTGGGTTATGCAGCCAAAAGAGCAAAAATTTGTATACATAAGAAAGGAGGCTGTGCGGTGAATTGAGCGCCGGGATGCTTTTCTATGAATGACAAGTTTCAACTGGAGCCTAGAATGGACGACTAAATTTGGCGTGATCGCGAGACACCGACATAATGAGGCTTTGCTGTCGTCGTATCGGAAGTGTAACTCTTCACTGACGAGATTCGTTTTTCATTTTATTATATATTTGTGTATATTTTCTTAATCTTTTTTTAATATTAATGAGACCGCCAATGAAAGAGCAACTGCGAATATGTTAAAATCTATGACTTTATAATGTACAATGACGATTATTTTTTGAAAAAAGAGAGATAATGTGATAAATGTGCTCACAATTTAGATCTTACTGAGAGACATTTGTTTGTCTCTTTGTTTATTGCTTTATTAATATTGAGAATGATCGAAAAGTAATTATTCTCTCTTATTGATCTAATCAATACACTTTTTTTTTAAATATGAAAATTTGTAGATGCATATACTTTAGCTAAATTGATTTTCCCGTGCAAGGTATAGAAAAATTTCATAAATAAAAGAATCCGTAAATGAAAAATAGATCCTTTTATTAGAAAATAAATTGTCTATCGAAAAATGACGTACACGTTTACCGAGTTTCGGCTTTTATTATTGTCCTTTTAAAAATGATTGAATGCTTCTTTGAGAAATAGAATAACGTTCAAATGCTCAACGTAATCCTTTTGAACAGAATATTCTCGGTTTCGCAATTCTTATGCAAGTAATACTTAAAATTGAACTTTTCCATAAATCATGTTGACAGAAAGGAAAACATCTATCAATATCGTACGTAACCCTTTCTTCTAGTTCAAAGTCATTAGTCTTCCAGTTTGTAGACTTGTATATGGTAAACATCGGCGCGTGCGTATAAGAATCTTCAATTCCATATATTTATCAATTATTTAATGTTATTTTGCAATTTTTACGCAAAATATACAATTAAAACTTAATCCTTTAATCAATTATGTTGATAAGAGCAATTAGAAAGAGAAAATCTTTTTTTCTTTGAAGTCAATTTAAATATCTGTGTATTCCAATTAAAATTTTATTTATTTTAAAACATAGTGTATATGCTTATTCCTTCTAAAAGCTTTTCTAAAAAATGAGTTACAATTAAATAGTTAAATATATATGTATATGTTTTCGTGTACATACATTAAAAAGACTTACGTATTATTATTCTCTGGTCAATGAGGTTTTGAAAAATAATGACGAAACCTGCAATTTTTGTGCTTTTTTTATTTATAACTATAATTATTACCTTTATCATTAGAAAACACTATAAAAATATTTTTAATATGCAATTATTCTTGTATTTGAATGTATTTTGTTAGATACATATCAATAATATCATAATATTGCATTATATTATATACATTTGCTCATTATTGCCTTTACCAAGGAAAATTTAACTCGCTTACAATCCAATTCAGGACGTTCTCCGAAAAATCGATTTTCTTTAGATTTTTCTGAAACTTACAGGAAATGCTTTTGTCTTAGTGTCCTGAACACTGCTTTAAAACTCAATACTCGAAACGAGATTAAAAATCACGATATTCCACTTCAAAATTGAAGCGTTTAACATAGGATTCCTATCTAAGCTTATATTTGAAAGTGGTCTTTTTATTCACTATTAAAAAGTTTTTTTTACAGTTTTTTGAAACAATGAGACATAAAACTTGATATCACAAGAAATAATATAAAATTTGTCTGAATATGGCTTCCGATATTCGTTTTTAAGAAATCATTGAGCAAAGTAAGTAGCTCCGCTATTTTTTCGGCCGACGGCAATGGCAAAGGTGGAGGATATTGACGATTTGACAACGTCGTATGAAACGTCGTCGAAATTATATGATTTATACTTACATGCAGTATCTCATATTTTAATAATTATAATTAATAATATAATTAGTAATATATATAAGGGTAATTTAAAATAAAAAAGAATTTTATTTCATAGCACACCTGCAGTCGGAAAACGTCCTTCAATTCGAATGTTTCGATCAACACTTGGAGTCATTATCGAAAAAGCATCGAAAAATCAAAAAGTTGTCCACTCTCGTGTGTATCAAGGATTTTTATTCTATATATGAGAGAATATTCTCGTTATATTTCCATATAAAATTCATATAAAAAGCAGAAAAATTGATATAAAGATTTTGTATCACATTTATATAATCTATTCAAGGAATGGAAGTAATTTGTTATACTTGTAACGAAGTTACAGTTACAAAAGTTACTTTTTTGGTAACTTTACTGGTAACTGCGTTACTTTCTTTTTTTTGGTAACTGTAACGGTAACGTAGTTACATCTTTTGGATAACGGTAACAAAATTTACTTTTATCGTTACTTTGCATACGATTGGACATGTTATTCTGTTATATAATTATATGTTATTAATTACAACAGCTATAAATGTGGTTGTAGGACATTGAATGTTTTTATTTAATACAGGCGTACAAGCTGCATTTAGTTTAATCTAAACATTGTATAACACATTTGTTTTAATTTAGTTGTATAAAAAGCTTTACTCGATCTATACATTTCTGTGTACATTTACGTTGAGCAATTGGAAAACACCCCTTTTTGCAAAACTTCTGTTATATATTTTAATTATAGCGTTATAATTTTCTTTCTGTCAAAATATTTGATTTACAGCTAAAAGTATACATTAAGTAAAAATATAGCTGTAATATAGATTATGTGTATTTCTTTAATTTTCCTTTTAATTTCTAACTTATATGTATATATCGTAATTCAGACAGTTCTATACAATCCTATATAATCTTTTCGTTTTCTACAAAGTATTTAAAAAATCCTGAAATGTCTTAGCTATCAACTACTGTAGTGATCCTGAAGTGATCTTTGACAACTGAGAAATATATACAGTATCATTGTTTCAGGAATTATTTTACACTTCTATCTTCTATGTAATACATCGGACTATATATATCTCAGTTTGCTGCATATTTTACAGGTTTTAGAATTACGAAATTGTGTTAAAAAAAAAACTAAAAAAATAAAACTATACATAGTGTCAGTGTTATACATGCTATATATGTATTGCTTTTATAAATGTTTGAACAAAAAATACTGCAAAAGTACATTTTCAGACTGATTTTTAAAAAGCAACGAAAAGTTACCTTTCGAGTAACTGTAACGATCGTTACTTTTTTTACTCTGTAACGAGTATAATTGTAACTTATTACTTTTAAAAAGTAACTTTTCATTCCCTGAATCTATTATATTTCTCACAAATAGTGTACTTTGTCTAATCAATTTCGAAATATATATTAATTACGTCAGAGATGTTTAATGAATGATGTCATAGATGTTTAATGATTGTGCGATACGTATGTACATAGCTAGACAATGGAAGTTGAAATTTGTTAAACACTATATGTTTAGACGTATATTGTACAAACGCAATGAAATCCTAGCTTTCTAAATTGACAGTTAATTGTCTTCGTTAAAATTTTCTTCTATTATTCATCTCTATCAATATAGAGATTTATTTTCTTCTATTATTTTCTTCTATTATTCATCTCTATCAATATAGATTAATTTTACTGTCTTGTGTATCTATTTCTAAGAATGTATAGATTTACTTTAATCGTGGTTCGATTTACTCTTTTAGTATAAACTATAGAATAGAATAATATATTGTCTCTCACATAAACCTTTAGAATGTAAAATAAAAATATATTGCAAATATATGTATGTACATATAAAGAAATATTTTTAAATAAGAAACTACGCGCGCGCGCGCACGAATTTGTAATAAATAATAAACCTACGGTATTGCGTCGTATGTTACTTAAACATTTTGAAAATTACTTATTATGATTATTTGTAGTTGAAAAGTGCTACACGTGCTCTATTTCGACCAACAGGTTGCATAGTTTCCCCACTACTTTTCCAAAGAAGAAAGGGTTTTGGGATCTCAAGGGTCTCAAACTATATAAAGCTTCTCCATCCCCTTGAGAGACTAGATCCATATAGAAATTTGCCCAGTAAAGTTGGCCTGGACTAGAAATCCAGTTCGTCTCTTTTCTTATATTTCGAAACAAATACGTTTTATAAAGTAATCGTACGTTCGCGGTAATCGAATACAATAATAAGAAGACGAGGATATTGTTATATAGTGTTGTGCTATCATGGTTTCGATGTAACCTTGGATTAAACTTGGATTATTAGGTAAACGTATTTACAAATTGCGAGAGAATTCCATCGAATAATATTTTTGCAATTTTTTTCTTGATCTTGAAAAATAAGCTTTTTTTTTAAATCTTGTATCATATACTACGTATCGAATTTATTCATCAAATTATGCTGAAAAATTGAGAAGCTCTCTCTAAAAACGGTCTTGATATTTTATAGATATCTCAGTGTGTTTGCATTATTTTAAATTACTCTATCAAAGAATATGTATTTTTTTTTCGCTTTTAAACCGCTGTCGACAAAATTTCAGATTTATGGTTCAATTTTTCTATTTATAAATAGAATCACGTAAGACTCGTATTTTCGTAAAACTTGTAAAAAACTTACGATATTAATAACTTGCAATATCTTTACAGAGATATTTTCTTGCTAGCTGTAAGATTTACAAGAAATTATAGATATTTACAAATAATCGTACGTTTTATGGTATATATGCATATAATTACAATTAATTTCAATCTATCTCTAATACAAGAAAAAAATATAAAATAATTTTTATTACATAAATTTAATAACACAAAATATAACTAATTAATAGGCTTATTATTTACAATTATTATATATGAGATTTATACCAAGCTAGTTCGTTATCGCTCGTATTTACATTATGCGTACATTTTTAAAGTTGCATTCTTTCACATTTTCTTTCGTTTTATAATTAAATTTAGAAAACGCATTCAATGAATGTCATTGACTAAAGTTTGGGTGTAAAGTTTGAATAAGTATATAGGCTCATAGGACGAGTGATAAGATCGATACGCTCGTCTTACAAAAATATTTATTTCGTTCTTTCGACGTATACTCACTTATGTCACAGGTACAACAGTAATGATAATCAAGCACAAATGTATCATATTTTCAATGCATAAAATTTCTTCGAGCAATAAACTTATCAGTGCAAACTTATTGTGAAAAATTAAATAGTAATTGTTGCATTGTGAATTTATTATATAATCATAAATTTATTTTGAGTCGACAGTTACTTGATCTATTTATTAATTCCTATTACATCTCAGATAGAAATTCGAAAGAATTTGAGTTACTCAAATTGTTCAGTAGACATTTTCGAACTTTATATTCGAATAGAATTAATTGTTTGAACTATTTTACATTTCTAATTATACATAAATAAATCTAATTAATAATAATTTGTAATCCTATTTCAGCTAATTATAAATGATAATGGAAAACTATTACAAACTATATAACGAAAGGCATTCTGAACATTCGTCTGAGCAAAAGGACGATTCAGACTGTAATATGTTGGTGCTGGATCTATCACGCAAGAAGCGCGTGGCATCTACGTTATACGAAGCCGAAATAATTCAATCCATTGTTTCATCGCAAACTTTGCTTCCAAACACAAAGAAGCAAAAATATCAAGAAATAAATTTTCTAGATGAAAATACACAAACTCCCGCGAGAAGTAGTGCCATGTTATCGCCATATTCCGAATCAAACTCGCCGAAAGAAACGAAGATTAGTTCAGTGGATTATGAAAATAATAATCAATTAATACATACCTTACCACACACACACACACAACACGCATTGTCAAATACGTATGGTATTACACCACGTACAACAATGGTAACGCCTCCGCAGCCATCGCTACTTACATATCCAAACGAAGCCACGAATATGCCCGTAGCGGTACCAAAAATATATTTACCGTATATAGAAACATCGCAATCTTGTGTAATAAATAACGATGCCAGGAGAATCATTTCGATGCCAGCAGAATGTTCGACGTCGGATGCGAAACCATCAACGTCTTCGGATGTTACGAAGAAAACGCCAAGACCTTTCAAGGCCTATCCGAACAATTTGTTGTCTGTTATTAGTAACGACATTGACCATAATTCGAATGAGAACTACGTAAAGTTCCGTAAGACGGTACTTGAAACCTTTGAAAAAGGGAACAAACAGACATCAAATCCTAAAATGCGTCGAGTATCCAAGTCTGTTAGTAATCCTGGAGTGCCTACTAGTACTGTCGATGAGAAAGATGCTATATATTGGGAAAGAAGAAAAAAAAATAATGAAGCAGCGAAGCGTTCGAGAGATGCTCGAAGAGCTAAAGAAGACGAGCTTGCAATCAGAACGAGTTACCTCGAATATGAGAATGCACGACTGAAGATGGAAATACGGACACTCAAGTTGGAGATACAAAAATTTCTTCACTCATTTTAATCTGTATATCAAAATAATTTAATTAGTTGCGAATTATTATTATGGTACGTGTATCTAGTATATAATAACGAATTTAGTATTTTCACAATTTCAAGAAACGTATTTAAATGTTTGGTACATATATTGTGTATATATATATTCCTATAATTTATCTAATATATGTATTTGGTATATAAAATATATAACTATAAACTATATATAACGTATAGTTTATATATATATTTTATACAGTATGTATGAGTATATACAGTAGATATACACATACTATATTACACTCTTAGATATAATGCTACATATATAGTATAATACTGTGCATATATGTGTACATATACCTATTATCGTTATCTAATATAATTCTTTACCGTGTCATGAAAATATTCACAACTTTAAAAAAAATTTTGAGATTTCTTGTATAAATATATTTGTAAACATTTTTCTTTTTATATTAAGTATATATACAGTATTCAGGAATTATTATACTCTGAATGAATTAAACTTTGTACGACTATGTGATGTAAAAACTGCAAGTTGTATCGTATAAAAAATTAAAACTGACAACGTGTGGAGTTGCATGGTAATTTTTAAATATGCTTTATAATTGACTATTAAAATTGATTACAAATAATAGATTAATGTAAAATATTACATAATAGATTAATGTAAAATTGACACATTGATATGACTTTATCCTATTACAATACAAAATAATACGGATTAAAATTTGTTAATATGTAAAATTGTCAAAGTGTTTAATACCTGTGAAAATAGAAAATTAAAAATATTGTGTACATATAGTAAGCATTGATTTAAGATAAGTTTTAAGTAAAGTTTGTAAAAATTATATATATATATATAATATACATATGCAACAGCATTATATTTCATAAAAAGGATAAGTTCTTTTGTATCATTATGTACATAATTATATTGTGGCATCACAATATTTAAAATATAATTTCTATTATATAATTTGTGTAATTTCCTTTATTATATATCATACAAATACCTATATTTTTAAGTACGTTTGTTATATGTTTTCTTATATATATACATAAATTATCAATAAAATTAATATTCTTACAATTATATATACAAATCTTTCAAAACATTTCATTAATTAAAAAAAAATTTCGTATATAAATTATTAATCAGGTAATGTTTCTGTAAGTTCCATCATAGTAGCTGATTCAAGAACATTCTTTTCTCTATTTTGATTATTTGTAAGTACCTTTGAGAAAGATTTTTGTACTTGTCTAGGGATAAAAACTAATGGCGTTGCCTTACTTTTGACACTAGTCGATGAAATTGTTTCTACGCTATCATTGTCTTTACAAATTGCATTAGTGGTACATTTTGTGAACATTTTTTTTCTCTGATTTTTTAAGAATATCTTAGGTATCTTCTTTTTATCATCAACAATATCAAATTCCATTTTATTCGATTCTTCTTCTTTGGTGCAATACTGTGTATCGTCAAACCGATATTTCTTTGGAAATTTATGTACTTCAATGCAATGTTCCTTTCTTTCCTTTGGATTGTTGAATTTTATGTCACATTCAGAATCATAACATTGATACTAGAAAAATGTCAATATTAAATATATGTGATAATATTGTATATATGTAATAACATAGATTTATAAAAAAAAAAGTATATATGTGTACCATAGCTTGTTTCTCTGATGAGACTTTGAAGAAGGCATCGTGCGTCTCCTGAATATGAATCTCCAACAACCGTGGATTTGGCTTGGACACTTTACATTCTGTACAAGCGTATCGATGCGAGCTATTATAATGCATTTCATAATCAAGTAGCGTTTGAAAAATATTCTTGCATCCTGGGACATAACATGGAAATTCCTTAATTCTGAAACAAAATAGTGACTTTTTTATCTACTATAAATTAATTAGACAACAACTTCTTCTTCATTGTAATAGAAAATGAACACAATATTTTAGAATTCTTGAATTAAATTTTTTTGCAGAATTCTTTAAAAGATGAGTCATGTAAGTATTGAAGCACATGGTAGAGATAGTGGTAATTAGTGACTATATTTTTTTTAAAGAAAATATAGTCACTAATTACTAAGGACAAATCTGAAAATTTTAGGTCTGTTTTTAAGGTCTGATAAATTTTAGGCATTATATAAAATTGTATTGCACAATATGAAATAATATGCAGTTTTTTTGATAGTTTAAAAATTGGTTTGGCTGTATATTGGAACAAATGTACTACTTGATCTGAAATAAGAAAAAGTTCGTAATAATAATCAAATAAAAACAACTCTAGTTTGAATAAATTTTATTTAAAAAATTAAGTAATATATTTAACAAAAAAAACTAATTATATTTATATGCAAGAAACTGTAAAATATTTTCTGTAATAACAAAATAAAGGATAGTAAAAGGCAATATTGGAAAATAAAGGACAAAATTAAGTTTTGAAACAAATAAATCTAATGGATTATCACCTAAAATAAGGAACTTAATATAGGAAGTGATAATCAAAACAAAAACAAACTTTTAGGTTATGTCACTATCTTTCTTAAAGAAAAGTCCGTACTCACACTTCATGGCAAAGCTCCTCCTCGTCATCAATCGTGACACCCTTTCTCTGGAATACCTTGCAGGTGTTGTAAGAATCTTCGAAGAAGGGATCGTTCACAGGGCGAATTCCGACACCTATCAGCTGAAGAACCTCTTCCATAGTGCATTAGATCAGATAATCATATAATCGTATAAGTATACAGCGCGCGTTTCCTATGAGAAATCTCAATGTGACTATATTTATTAATTTTTATTACATTTACCGATCAAATAAATGCATTTTATTTATCAAATAAATACCATTAAATGCATCACTGTGCTCCACGCCGCATCGTGCAATCACCGCGCAATGTATTCTGTAATTAGGTCTGTTCTTTTTAGCTGAACTTGTTGCACGATTCATTTCTCTCTCCCAATGTGAAGAGAAAAGGAAAAAAGATGACTTTGCACACTTCAAAAGAACAGACCTATCTGTTCGCGATTCAAGATGACGCCTCGACGCCCATTGGCTGCCGGTTCGACCTATCGCAGTGCACATCACTTCGATTATCGAAATTTGAACGCATGCAATTTCCGTGTAAATGACGCGACCCAATTTTCGCGGAGTTTCGTGGCGAGTTGCGAGAGAAATACGCGGGAAAGAGTTCGCGTTTGCGAGTGAGAATCGGTAACGCGTGTCGTTCGGTGAGAAAGAAATCATAGACGCGTTGCAATTTTTATCACACACGCTCCGAGTGTAACATTAATTCGAGAATTAAGCTGCGCCGAATTATCACAGATCCGATTAACCATGTCATGGTCGCTTTTCGATCGCAATCGTGAAACCGCGCGTCGGCGTACTTATACAATCTTAAGGCAATATTCGAGATGTTGATCCTGATGAATCTTTTTGATATTTACCCGAGGAAGAATGGGACTGAGTCTTGACTTGTGAATTTAGGAAGGTAAATACTGTTTATACGGCGAAATACTAAAAAGTATCCCAATCAGTACAAGGTGATATTATTTGCTGCCATTTTGACGTCAAAATGTTAAAAACGTCATTTGACTCCAAAATGATGACTATTATCATATCATCTTGCTATCTGAGATGATATAACTTTATTATTATATAATTTTATTATTTAATGTATAATTCAGAGTACCATCCTGTGTGGTGTCTTCTGGATATTTGTTGGACGGAGAACGAGGAATTGGCAAGGTAAGGAAATACTGAAACTTTAATGTTTTTCAAACAACATAATTTTATTATAGCATGAATACAGCGATATAGAAGCAATATAGGCATAAATGGATTGATAATAATAATAATGGCGTAAATACGGAAATTGAGATAACTGAAACATATAATTTTGGCGAGCTTAATTTCTGATGCCACTTGTATGGGAAAAAGAACGTCTTATTCGCAAATAAACTGAAGATTCATTATTATTTGCAATAAATAAGTACTTGAATATATGTGTATAGTATTGATAAAGATTGATAAATCAATAGGGACTATGCTGATGATTCATTTTATTTTTTCATGAAATCCCGCAGAACATAATGAGAAATAATGAAAATACATTGTCGGTATGTAATAAAAGTCGTAAATATAATAATATGCATAATCAACACTTTATTCAACTAATAATCGCGTCTTCAGGTTTTCTAATATCTCTGTCATCCTGTTCTCTAGCTCGTTCCTTCTTTGTATTTCATCTCTTTTCTCCTGTAACATATATATATATACGGAAAAAGAATATTTTAACGTAAAATATTTTTTATTTTATATAATGACAACCTGTTTAGATAAATTCTAAATTATTTATTTTTTTGCTAATATAATTATCATATATAAATGATTTGATTAAAGATATATAGAATATTCAAGATATTGAACATTCTTTTCTTTTATTTTACAAAAACTGAAAAAAAGACTTCCTTGTTTACATTTATTTGTATGTGTGTGATTTTATTGCATATGTAGTCTGCATAGACTATTAATATTATACTATTAATATTTTGTTGCCATATATTTGTGTGATGTTATTTCACATGTGATCTGCACAGAATGTTAATGTAATTAATTTAGATAATTATATTGACTTATATGCTTCTTTATATTTCATTGTATATTAATCTTGAAAGAATAGCAGAATACAAGAGAATTATTAAAATAAAAATTGAATACAACTCGAGAACTTCATGCCAGCAACACAACTAGGTATATGAAACATATTTTCCGTATCGTGAAATAAATTTTATTTGTTGCGCAAATGAACATCGTTTTACTCGTACACTAATAATTTACTTGAAATACGTTTACGTAACGTTAGAATTAGATATTGCGTATAAAGTCCACGTAGTGAATCGGTCCATTCGGCTTTAATTGCCTCCGCTCCGACACTCTCAAGGTCGCCACTTTGTTCCGGTACTCTCTGACTTTGGCTTTCTCCGTGTCATTTTCTGGTTCATCGGTCTGTTTCATGATACTTTCGTCATCGTGGTGATAAGCGGTCGGTTCCGGTACAATGAACGCGTCTGATTCCTCCGTAGTTTTGCCATTCTCTTCGGCAACTTTCGTTGCATTATTGCTTTCGCTTTCAAAGTTATAATCATCTTTGCTGAAGCCGAAGAAATCATGCGCGCTCTGGGGATTGTCGAATGTCTTGTTCGGAATCGGTTGCGGAGACTTTGCCTCTTCATCGTTCTTGCGGCTTTCTTTTTCTGGCTGCGAATTCTGTCGTCTTCTCAACAGCCGCGAACGACGCGGCCTTTCTGATGATCTACTTTGCGTGTTTTGATCCAAAGGCGCAATATTTTGCAACGGTGTGAAGACTGGTCGAGGAGGATCAGCCGTATTACTTGGTGATTGCAGCCTGTATATTTTGTTCGACCAGTTTTCCGTGTTAACAATTTGATTTCTTGTATCAACATTAAATGGTTCTTCGGTTTGTGGCGTATGCTTTTCAAAAGTGTATCTGTAACGGTCGAGAACGCTCGCTGGAATTTCCTGAGGCTGATAGTAATAGTTACGTGGACCAATTGTGGTTTTGTTCAGATTGTATTCGGTGATATTAGGTTTCACTTGGACGACTTGTTTACTGATGCTTTGTTGAGCAACGTAGACTGGGTCTCGCGGACGCGTAACTTCGGCATGTGGATTAGACTTTTGTGGATTAACTTGACTTTGCGAGTTTACAGCTTCGTTGGAGAAATAATAAAAATTGTAAGGTTGTCCATACGGATGTACTGGATTACCAACGACTACGAGATAACCGGAAGGTTGTTCTGAAGACTTGTCACTTGCGTCTTGTGCTGCGATTTCTTTTACAACATGTTGATAATAATTCGGGGCATAATTTTGTGTGATAGGGTAATAGTTCGGTAAATTTGGCGGAACGACAGTAGTAGCCGGTTCCGAATTGTCGAAGGCGTAGTCGAAAGGCGGTGGCCATACCTGAAACTCCTTATGCTCGCCTTCGTGTAGTTGTCGTGGTCTTTCAGGCAAACCGATCTGCGGAGTCAGCAGCAGATTCTGCTCTTTAAGAACTGTTTGTGTGGAACCCACATTGTCTTCATTGAACCGTCTATCCGGTGGTCTATCTGTCTCTTCATAGTTCAGTCGTCGTATAGTTGCTTGCTGTACCTTGTCATTCGCATCGATATAACGCACAGGCACAACTAGAGGTACGTACGTTCCAAAATCGGCTTGTTCTTGCGACCCCGAGTTCTCCAACCTCACAGCACCATCATCATCGTCATCTTCCTTATCACGGATACTTCCCGGTTTCTTAGGTTTTCTCGACATTATCGAGAATGTATTATTTTGAATTCTTAGGTTTTCTCTATCATTTCTATCCGCTTCATTTTCGTTACTTAAGTCGTATTCTTCGTACTTATTCTCTGGCAAGGCGTATTCTTCTCTGAGCTTCTGCAACCTGGTCAAGTGTTCGTCGTACCCATCTTCGGCAGACGTCTCTTCTTCATTCCTTTCCCGTGACGCGTCTTTAAGATTGTTGCGAACTTTTTGCAAATCATACGCGTTAGTTTGAACATATGGGTGCCTGAACATACTTATGTAAGCGGCGATTCTGTCATCCTTTAGTTTCTTATTGTCCAATACCTCGCCGTAGCTGTCACGAATCACTTCGGGGTTACTCTCGTGGAAGTAATCGCCGATAGGCAACTGCTGATTGTATCCTATTTCTACGTATTTGTCGAAATTCTCTGGTTGTTTATATCCGTTGAACTGTTCGTTAGAATTATCGTCGTGATAATCTTCGCTTTCCTCTTTCTCACCCTTCTTCGGCGATTGCTTCGAGGACTTGTTCGGGAGATTCTTCTGGCTGGCGTACTCCTTGTATCTTTCCGCGGAGCCCTTCTCCTCTTCATCATCGTGATACGTTGGTCTTCTTTCTTCCGTTGATTCGTTCTTGGAAGCGTCACGATTTCGATCAGCGATTTCCTCTTCGCGATTCCTATATCTGTCATTTATTTCTTCCTCCTTGTGGTCTGCTTTATCACGATCTCTTTCTTCTTCCTGCTGTTTTGGATTCTTGTTGCGTTCTTGTTGTTTACGTTGCAATTCGTTATGCTTGTTGTTCTGCTGCTTGTTCAGCTCGTCGATATATAATTGATAATTATGGTTGCTCACTGGATTTTTCACGTCCTTCTCATCGTAAATTTCTTTTTCCTTCACCGTATATCGTTCTGTGTCTTCATTATTCCTGTATACCGTCTCCTGCTCTTTCCGAACCGGCGTCTCCGCATTTTCGTTTGAGTCACTGACGGAAGCTGGAGCAGTAGGATACGATAATTCGAGATGCTCGACAGGATCGATTGGTATAAGATTCGGCGCGATTGGCAATGGGATCTTGACGAAGAACGGCGCCAATAGAGGCGGTTTCGTCTGTGAGTTTGTCCTCGGATCCACTGGAATCTTTGCAGGAAGCGTCGATGCGGGTCGCGGTATCGTTATTGTACTATTTTCACGACCGTGAAAGATCTGCTCGTATTGCTGAAGATGTCCTAAAATGTCTGAGTTATTGCCAAAGTTCAGTACACCGGTAAACTTGATGGTTTCTTGCTGCCTTGGTACAGTGATATTCGTAGGTTTAGAAGATGCGACATGTTGTCTTACATCAACCTTGGACAAATTGGACATTGCAGTGGATTTTGTGGCATTCGGATTCGGCAGCGAAGCAAATTGAATTGGAGTCACCGTGTATCCAAAAATCTGAGCCAGACCTGATAGTAGAACACCGAGACCTCTCTTATCGCGAGGATTTTCTGTAGATTGTTCATCGATTCCATCGGTTTCTTGTATAGGGATTTTCGATATACTTTTGATGTATGTCAAGGGTC